TCCTGCTGACCTACTGTGTTATTTTTAAAGTATGCTTAGCGGCTTTTACTTGCGCACAAAACTTTTTGAAATATATTAACATTTAGAAGGTTTACTAAAAATAGAGGTGCTTTTGTATGTTTATACCTCAAAATATCCGAGTAGATGTATTGCTAGAAAAGGCTGCTCTATCTGAGTTTGGTTTTGCTCAAGTCTTCTTTGAAATGACTGGGCGTTCTCTCAAAGACAAAAGAAAAACTGAGTAAATATTTTAGCCGAAAATCAAGCCTTAAAAAATTACTAAGGAAAACTTGCGGCACTAAGTTTCGGCTACAAAACTTGCTGAAAACTTGTTGTTCTAGTACTGCGGATTTGCAAGGGTGCATTGCTTTATGTTGTTTCTTCTTCTTTCTGCAGTTACCCTCAAGAATTCCAGGATAAAGGTAAGTCTCGTGCATTTTTTTTTTTTTTCCTCCCTTTCCCTTTTTGCCTTCCCCGTGGAGTGTTTTCTCCCCCTGACAGGCTCTCGGGTGGGTAAGCCGGGGGCAGGCGGTGGGTGCTGGGCTGTGCCCGGCTCGCCTGCCGAGGCCGAGGGGGCTGGCTCCCCCTGCTGAGGACAGCAGGAAAGAGCTTGCCGGCTGCACGGTTCTCCCTGCAGCTGGGTCCGGTTTCCCTTAGTAAATACATCTCAGACCGCTTACCGACGGAAAGGTTAGTTTAGAAATGAGGGCTCAGAATTTAATGTAAGTGGAGCTTGTTATGTCTGGCTTAATTAGCAATAGCCTAGCATTGCGAAAGACATGTGATGCAGGTTTTTCTTTTGTTGTTTTTCAGAGGAAGTGTATGCAAAGCAGCCTGCTTAGGAGATTAAAATTTTCATAGGGAAAACTTATTTCAGCCTTTTTCTCATAACATTGCAAGTCTTCAATTCCATAGTGATGTTTCTTTAACCTTTTAATAAGATCATCTAGTGGCAATGTGGTGTTGGCTTTCGATCCACGCTGGATGGATGTTTTCATAGTGCAGTGGCAGCTCAGACCTTTAGTTGGAAAGGAGACAATTTAGTGTGCAAGTAATGAAAACTGAAGTGTGGGTTATCTATTGTCTTCTAGTGGAGTTAAAATAAAGCTGCAGAGTTCAGTTTAGAGAAGACCGAGGAGTGTTCTGTTCTGTAACTAAACCTGGAAGGGCTCTTATTTCCATGATGCTAATTCTTGAGGTCATGACCTATAGCCTGTGGATGCTGGTATGAGGGTCACAGTGTGAGGTCAAAAAAGCCTACGCAAAGCTTCACTTTTTGCAGTGGTTGAAGAACTGTCTGTTTCTGGACAAGGAGGTTCAAATGTGTAGGCTTCCTGATAAAGTGCAAATATATAAATCGTATTAGGCTAGGTAAGTAATGTTATAACAAGGCACAACAAGTTCATACATTTCTTATCCTTGTTTAAATCAAGTTATGTAGCCATAACAGTTCAACTGAAAGAGAAAATACAACTTGAAACTTCCCAAAGATTGCTAAGGTTCTGTAAACTCCAACTGTGTGATTATTTTAAAACAATTTCTAAATAATTTGCTTTTTTTTTTTATATTGCACCTCCGCACCCTTGGTGAAGCTAAAATGTAGTTTCCCTCCTCTCCTCACTGTCCAGCAGAACTAAGGGTGGAAAAGTCAACTGTTATTTTATTAAGAGAATGACTAACATGAAATTAGGTGGGATGGTTGTTTCATTGCAAATGCATCTGACTTTCTGGAGAGACTGTTTTTGAAGATTTAATAACTTTCTGAGGCTATGACACTCTAATAAACATGAGAGTTATCTACGAAGAGCAGAGTTTGCATTAGCCAGCTTGCCTTTTTTTTTTTTTTGAAGGTCAAGAAAATTCTAGTCTATTTACTTTCTTCATTGGCAATTTGATTCAGAATTTCTGTTCCGATTCAACAAATTATTAATAAGATGAGATTTCATTATCTCCAGTAAAATGGATGATTTAATTGATAGAGTCTGTAATTGTTACCATATAATTTGCTCTGATTTCTGTGAAAATGGTATTGTCGTCATCTTTTGATTAGAGTGCATTTGCTTCTTGAGAAGGCTATATTGCTTCTTAAAAAAAAATTCTCATGATGTGTCTCTTTGGTTCAGATGGTAGAACTATGTACAGATGGTGAAGCTTGTGAATGCTGACACTTTAGTTTTCTTCCAGTATTTGTCAATAAAACAAGAGGGCTCTGAAGTTATACCATTGTTTTCTGCAACCAAGGATAAATTTCTCCAAATTCATGTTCATTTACATGCATGAAAATGAAAAGAGAAATGGGAGCCTGCACTTATTTGCAAAATACTTGGGGGAATGTGGTTCAGTGGTATGGGTTGTTGGTACAATTTCCAGAGTTCAAAAAGTGTGTGCTAAGCTTTATTTAGTTGTGCCATTCTTACTTTAGGCCTGTACAAATTAGGCGTGACTTGTGTAGGTGTAGAACAAATGACCCACATGGAGGTAAAGCAGTCGGATTCTTGGCCACCTACTACTGTAACAAAGCAGCAGCAGCAGCTGAGTGAGGTCAACTTGTGTGCCCATTCATACCTCTGTGCACACCTGGACAGTTGAAAGATGGAAAATTTGAGAAAAGAATAAAAACTGAGGTGGCAGTGATCGTCAGATGTTTTCCTGTTTCCCCCTCCTCCAGAAAAAGAAGAAATATCCCAAAATAGAAGGTGAAAAAGGAGAGTATCTTTTAGGAAAAAAGGAGGGGTGGAAGCAGAAATGTGGAAACTGCACTGAAACAAACTAAGAGTAGTAAAAACTACTGTGTGTGGTTAATATTTGCTCTTCTTTGTTTTGCAGTAGCAGTTACTCCATTTTTAAAAATGCAAATAAAATAATCTTTGTTGCAGCTGAAAGGAAAGGTGAAGAATGATTCATACTATGTGCCATATTACCATGGTATAGAAATTATCATACTACGTTAATTATTGTACTATACCAGCTGTTTTCAAGAATCTCGTGAGTTGTGACCTGTCATCCTTTCAGACACATCCAGAATAATCTTTCGGAGGCCACAAGGAGTGGACTAACACTTTGAAAATTCATATATTTCCTGTATAACAAAATGAAACTTGACTATGGTTTCTCAAACAGCTGCACTTTCAGCTTGTGAGTTGCTCAGCAAGTATGCTTTGCGGGCATCAGCTTGTCACTCCACTCTCTTTCATCGTTGTATGTTCTTGATGTTCCACTGGCTTTGCATATAGTGACTAGTCAGTTTGACCAGGGTATCTACGTGAGTCTTTTTGTATGGGCTTTGGCCAGTAGCATACAGAATCTTACTTTCCATAAAGATAAGGCAAGGAGGTTTACAAGAAGAATTAAAAAAAATTGAAGAGCATGTGCACAAGTAGAACCAGGCTCCTTGAAACCAAAATCATCCACGTGTATATCTCTTAACTTTCAGAAAGTGCGTACATACATCTTTGCAACCAGACTGATGAACTTGAGGACTTTCTTGCATCCTCTTAAAAATAAGCCTTCTTATGTTGTCTGTCAGGTCAGTGAATATGCTGGCAAAAGCATCTTTTGTGTCTACACACTAAAAATATGAAGATTTTTAGGTACCTGTCATAATTCAAGACAAAAAATTAATTGTGCAGGAAAATACTTAATTCTCATGTGTGATGTGTTATCTGATTTTTAAACTGACTTTTACAGTTAAGTATAATGTTGATTTACAGACAAAGACAGTGCATGTTGTTCTTATGACCAAAAATGTACAATTACATTAATATCCAAACCACTAATCTTTCCACAAATTTTACTTTTATTTATTAAGTTATTGAACAGTTATTATTTTTATTTTATTCTTAAATTAGGAACTCAGTAGAAATGTGCTTTTCTCTTAGACACTGCTGCCTTTTTTTTTTTTCATTTGAAATATTTGACTCTCTATCTAAGCAGTTTAAGCAAAACCAAAAAGCCATACTCACACTCAAGGTGACCTGTTCTAGATCTTAGAATTGAGAAGGAACTTGAAAACTAAGTTAATTTTCATACAAATTGGATTCATTTTTTATAAGACTAGTATTCCACTAAGGATATAAAAGTCTGGACTTTGTCAAAGATTCTGAGTTAATTCAGTTTTTGGCATTTCTCTGTTTTGAGATTAATTGAATCAATACCATGGCTGCCAAAATGTTTAGTTAAAAGAACCTTGTTTTCAATTTATGCTAAAAATAGTGCTAAAGTTGGCAGAAGCGCTATAAGCCCTAGAAACTGTATTTGTGTTTGAAGCTCACTTGCCATCTGTTCCTTGCATTTATTTTAGTAAAATATATATTTTTAATCGCTTTTCACAAAAGATTTTGGCTCAGTGTTGAAAGTGAGACACCAAAAGTACTAGCCAAATCGAGTCATAATATGGGAATTTGCAGAACGAGTTCCCCATAAAGCACTCAGCGCACCTTATATCTGATCTGCAGCACACGACTTTTGGCACTATTTATGCAGAAAAGTATGATTTGACATTTGCTGAACTACCACTTTTGAGTCTGATAATAAAATGATGAAGGTCCACTTTAATTTTCATTTCACTGTAGTATAATAGAAGATAAATCTGTGTCTAGAGCATTGGTGTTCTTCTCTATGTAATTATTGGGAGCACCTGTAGGAAACCTTTAAATGACTCAGGTGCCTATTTGGCTCTTGGCAGAGCAGTGAGTGTCTGGAGCCTGAGACATCTGCTTCCTGGAAACAGTCAAGCTGATAGAGTAGCACTATATACAAAGACACTGCATTTTCTGGTGGGTTTTTTTCTGGTTTTGTGTGGTGGTGATACTTCCTTTTTTGTCTCTCTGCACTCTGTTTTTCAGGGAATGGCAGCAGGTAGGAGTCTTTTTGGACTTGAGAAGGGAGTCAATAGCTTGTGGTCATCAGAGGGTGCAAGTTCTGTATTTTAACACACTTAAGCTTTCAGTTAGGGGCATAAATACATCATTAGTATTAACCATAAATGGGAAAATATGGCTTAGTTGATATGCAGTTCTTTGAGGATCATCATGACGTATTTCTGGAGGCACCATCAGATGCATTAGACATATGTCAAATATCACTCTGTTCTAGAATTTTGGAGGGTTTCATTGTGGGTAAGTTACTGTGTTGTCCCTTTCGGCTACATGCAGCTGGTATCTGTGAAATGTCCGTGCCAAGTGCAATTTCAGGCAGCACAAGGTACAGCCACCAGTGCAGCACAAAATGGTCTTATCCTGATGTGCATCATCAGAACGAGAGGCAGCTCACCAAGTAAAAGTTGTGTTGTTTTTCTTGCTTGAAGCGTATTTGCTTATAAACCTAATGCTGTTTCAGTGTTGTTTTAACAAATAGCTGCTAAAGAATTCCTACTTGACTTTATAAAACAAGCCAGTAAAAACCATCATGTTAATATGAGCCTCTAGAAGACTCTTCAGGAATGAGTGTGTTGGAGCAGATTGCATGGCAAAGCATACATCGAGAAAGCGCTTGTCACAAGAATCCAGCCTTGCAAGATGACTGGTGGATTGGGTCAGTAGCATCTTAAATCAGCTGCATCTATCAAGAGGCTCAAGTATACCTGTGCCAGCTTGAAAGCAACTTTTTCTAGTTATTTTTGTGAAAAACTGTGTAGTGAGGATCTTGCATTTATGTGCTCAGTGGCTTCATCCAGTTCTTTGGTGGGTTCTAGCAGAGCAGAGACTGGACAGGAGGAAGTGATTTCAACTTGCTGTGACTTGGGACCTCCTAAAATGGCAAGAAGCAGGGTGTTTTGATGTGTATGTCTCTTTATTTTTGTGAGTTGTTTTATTTTGCTTATTCTTGAGCAATTTTAATGCATCACTCTGCCTAGATGTTTTTAGAAATAAAATGAAAGTGTTTAGCGATCTGGGAACCCTGAGCTAGCAAGTCTCTTCTGAAGGCATTGGCTGAAATACCTTGCTTATTCTTTTTTAGATTTAGTGGCTGAAGCAGTATCTCTAATGCTTAGGATTTCATTACTATAATCACACTATTGCAGAAGAAATTGAATTTCTGGGGGGGAAAAGAAATCTGGATTTATTTTTTTTTAAACTGGATTCTTATGAAGTAATATGGTCCTGTTCATTATATTCAGCTTGTACCAACTAAATATTTTGGAAATCTTCAGAACAGGGGGCAGGGACTGAAGTGCAGCCCTTCTTACAATGAGGAGAATTTGTCTTTTATGCTCCAGTCCTAATGTGGTATGCTTACCCTTTGGTATGCAGTATTTCCTAAATCAATAAATAAGCTGTAATGGAAAAGGTAGCATTTAATAAGGAAAGATTTTGTTTTTTTTTTTAATTTACAGAGAACATAAAATATTATTCTGCTATCAAACCTGTAAGACATTAGTTTAAATTGCAGAAACTGGAGAATAGGGTCAGTTCATACACATATTTTTGTTATTGTTCTAACTGTTAACTATCTACTGTTAATTAAACTTTTTTTTCATCTTCTAGATAAATCATACGGTATTCTGGGGAAACAAGCAGCTATATTAATGAGCATCAACTCCTTAATTATCCTTGTGACTACATAACAGGGACACATTCATGTCACTTCTTTGTGCAATAACTTTTGCAAAGAAGTATTTTTAAACTGATCATTAATTTTATGACCACAGAAATGAGATGCAAAATTTATGCTGTTGTCATTGGCACAGGTTCAAGGCACTACTGACATTATGTGTGATTGTAATGGAATGGCTGCCAACTAATGAGTCTATAGACATTTCGTTTGAGCATGCTTTGCTTTTAGATGTCTGATTAGGCAGTAATGCTTTCAATTATGCCTGCAAATTGTATTGGATACATTTACCTGATGCCCATTGTTGCTTTGTAGTTCGGTTTTCTATTACATAAATGCAAGTTGAATGCTTTTCTTTAATTTATTGATGCTTTTCGGGTGTATTTTTAGGTACTTGGCACCTGAAGAGAGGAGTAGTGGCTTGTGCTGCTCAACACTGACTCCTCTGACTGTTCAAGGGGTAACACATGTAGCTTCAAATGCAATTCTGTCTGGTCTTCCTCAGTAGGTGGAGTATAAACTGCAGTGCAACACCTTGATGGAGGAGCATGTGAAGTGGAGAAAGGGCAGAGATTACTCTGAGTGGGAATGCCTCCTGCAGAATCAACAGGAAGCCTCTCTATGAACTGTCAGGAGCAATATCCTCATGTATTAATAGCATATGCTCCTAAGATGTCTTTTAACCCTGCCGGAATTAGGAGGCAAAAACCCAAGGTCGATACTAGCCTGTAGTCATTCTTTTATGTGAGCACGTAAAAATGTTGTGAAACGTTGCCTATTAAAGCTCCAGAGCACATTGAGTCAGCTCTCCTATCAAAATGCCTGCGGTTCTTCTGTACAAATTAGATGATTTAAGGATTGCATTTTGCTGTATAATATAAATTTACACATACATTTATTTAATCTAAAATAAAAAATGGAAGATTTTTAGTTTACTCTAGCCCTGCAGGGCTACAGGTTGCTTGTAGCTGTATTCAGTGTCTGTGACCTATTCTTCACATTTTTTCCATAAAAAAGTGTGGGTACCTAAACACACTATTGTATGACACAATGAGATTGGTATATTTGTTCTGATTGTCTTTCTCAGTGAGTTTTTTCCCATGGAAGTGTTTGAGCCTTTATTTAGGGTTTAACGTTTAGAGAATGCTTTGAAGACTATAAGCTCTCTAAAAGCACAGAGCTTGTAACTTCTTTCTTCGTAATACTGCAACAATTCTTTTTGTTTTGTTTTAGGAGTATTTTGAACTTTGATATTGTCATACTTAGGACAGATACTTGTTTTATTCTAAGTCTACATTTGGTGTACCCATGTTTTTTGTTGTTTCAAATACAGTATATATCTAGGGTATGTACATGGTGTGCCCTAAATATGTATGTGTGTATTAAAAAGCCTTTTGTTTCTAGATCATCTGGCTTTTATATGAATGCAAAGCATAAAGGTTTACTGAATTCAAAATCCTTAGCATAATTAGAAAATGGTAATATTGTGACTTAATCGCAGAGCAGGGTAACAGTGCAGAAAACTTAGATAAGGAGTCACAACTTCTCTGAAAGAGGTTATGTATAGTTGAGTGCAGCAAAAATCTCTGGAGATGTTCTTCCTACCTGTGTACTTGCCTATTTTCATCCATAAGTGCTACACATTTAGATGTACTTAGGTTTACTCTTACTATTCAGCCCATGAATTTTGAGTGCTGGAATGTGATGTTTGTGGAAATGTTTTCCTCTAGAAATACAGCCTAATATTTTAAATTTATGCTGGCACCTTCATAAAGGTTAAATGATAGTATGTTTATGCATAGCTGATAAGATGATGTTTTAGACTGACAATCAGGGCATTGGAGGTGGGGGTTTATATATACATATATTCCATGCATCTAGTACTAGTAAAAGTTTAGGACAGGAAAAGAGTGGAGCAACTTTTGATACTGTATAGGTTGTGAATATTCTGTGTAATCTTTTTATATGGAGTCTATTGTTTAATAAAGAGAGAGTTTTATATATGTGTGTGTGTGTATAGAGACAGACAGCTGCTCTCTGTCATGTAAGTGTGAAAGATGATCATGCAGGTTGTAAATATGGCATAATATTTTCTGTTCATGTGCAATCTGCTCTCTGGTTTTCTGTGTGGAGGAAGAGGTGAATCCTGGTGAAGGATAATTTACTTTTGATTGGTTTGACAGGTGTGATGAAATGCAAATATTTTGATCAGATTAACACGATGGCTGGAGTGCTACTGGAAGATGGCTGTGTGAAAAAATAGATTGAAGTCCAGTTCAGATTCAAAGCAGTGGTTATATGGCATAGGAGCTTGAAAGGAAGCTCTCCCAAGAAAAGTGTACTAAATTAATGAAGAGAAAACCAACTTGCTATTCTACAATCTTGGGATGTAAAAGAACTCCAGCAAAGCAAAAATCAGGCTTTGTTGCCGTATCTGCATAGGAAACTTGCAGTTCTTTGTGAGTAGCTACAATGCTTTTTGGGCACGGACTCTGAATTTTCCATGATTTTCAGTTATTAAATGGAAAGCAAAGAGGTAAAACTCAGCCATGCATAGACAGTCCTACTGGTGAATGTTATTCATATGGCTGTGAAGATGAATATTTTCACTATGCATGGGGTGTGTTTTGGATTCTGAGAAATTAGTTATCCAATACAGTGCTCCAAAAGGGAACACATAAATAGAGAAGCATGTCTGGAGGTCTCTGGAAAGTTTTCTGCATATGAATATACCAAAAGGCAATGCTTGAGAAATTTAGCTTTATATGGTTTTTAAGAAAATTGAGGGTCATTTGATCTGCTGGAGCATAAGCTTTATGATTTGGGTTTGGTGACAGTATTCCATTTAGTTATTGGAGTTTTTCTCCTTCACCAAGACTTGATTTTTAATTATTTTTTTAAAAGAAACAGTCTAGTTCTGTTTTGTTTTTTTAACTTTTTTTCTGTATTTGCTGTTTTTTCCACCTCTTCTTCACCTACATTGTATTAAAAAAACCCCCCACCAAACTCTGAAAATATACTGAATTTTGGGAGGCAGAACTTAAATTTTGTCTAATTAAATGAAAGCCTTAAACAATACTGATTTTGCTTTACCTTTTCCAGACCTTCATACTTGATGCACTCTGGTCAGTGTAGTGTATAGGTTAGCTAATAAGGTAGATTTTGTATGTATTATAGTAGAGCTCTCGGTTCTGTAAGAAACTCACGGACAGAATGCTGCATTAAGCCACAGGTTCAGACCGGCTGCTGTCAGAAGAAAAGATTCCCTTTTTAGTTTCGTGGGAGGAATAAAACACATAAAACATTTGCAAAGTAGTGCCTAATTATGGCGAAGAAAAGCAAAAGTGGGCAGAGGGTGACAAACTGCTGCCAAAAGTAGTTTGGCAGTTCCCTGGGGGGGAAGTTGCTGCGGCTCCTTCCTGCACTCGGACAGGCAGAACTTTGGAGCTTGGCGCTGCCCGTTTCTCCTCCTGCCAGTGTTTTCCCTTGCCCACCTCTTTGCTGTGGTGTGTGTTTCTTTCCCACCCCGGTGTGAGAAGCTGTCAGCTGTGCAGCGCTGGGAGCGGGTTCAGTGCATGACAGCGTGTAGCGAAACCGATCCAGCAACACGTACGCGGCCGGTTGGAAGGTAACCCTAGAACGGCAGCGCTTACAGCTGCGCTTGAACGTGCGAGGTGCATCCATGAGAAATGTGGGTGGTTTTTTTTTTTTTGGTGTGGGGTAGGAATTGGTATCCTCCTGACTAATGAAAATATTTGTCTTTGGATTCTGTCTGTGTTTGTATGATAGGGTATTTTAACTACCAATGTATTTTTAACTTCTACAGAAGTGGAAGATGAGGAAGAGTCTGAGGGCTCTTTTCCTTCGCCTCCTGATAGTGCCTCAATAGCATCTGACCGATATGATAAAGAGGATGAAGGACCTTCTGATGGTATGTAATGCTGTTTACCTTAGAATGTACTGGATTTGCCAGTTTGCTACAAACTCATGTCATCAGATCCTCGTGATGCGAATGTTAGTGTTGGAAATCAGATAAACAGATAAACATCACAGCTGGACAGTTTTCTTACCTTTACAAGAACCTTTAAAGGAACTGAAGAGCTCTCTCTAGTGGTCCTAGAGCATAGTGAAGCTGTCTCAAATTTACATTTTTTTTTTAAACTAATGTTTTCCATAACAAAACATCTTCTGGAGATGCATATGTTTTTAAAGATAGATCAGTGGCTAAAAAAGTGTGAATATTTGTAGTAACAAATTGTTTGTTAATTCAACATTATCAGATTCTTGCTTAATTTTATTGTGCTGCTTAATGGCGTACTGTATTATTTATCTAATAAATAATGAAACAGTTTGTGATTGATATTTTTCTGTAAACTCCATGTAGAATAGGTTCATAAAATATTAAATTAATTATTCCTACAATGTTTCCTTCCATTAAGACAGTCAAATGTAGAATGTTTTCATTATATAAATTCTAAATTTGAGTTTGCATTAAAAAAAAAAAAATCTAGGCTCCATAGCTGTCTTCCATGCTGGTTTATTTTGTATTCATTAAATTTAATGCTAAATGCAACTGTTCTGAAGACATGAACAATGGGATATTTCAACAGTTAACAAGCGTGCTTTAGCATAGTGTCCATATTTTTGATATTCATTATTGTATACATAATATAAATACCTTCTATGGATAATATATGGCAATAAATTAAGTATATGTACAAATAAATTAACGACGTATATTAATTTGTGGCACTAGAAGTTAGATAGACTTACTAGTGAATGATGTTTTCTGACATGATATGATGATCAAACTGTGCAGCTCCATCTCAAAATACAATTGCTGAATGAAAATATGCTTCCTGCAACATAGCACTCCACATTTTATGTTATCCAGATTATTCCCTTTGGAAACATAAATTGCTTTTATGAGGTATAAAATTATGTCTATTGCAGAACAGGGATAAGTCAAGTACATGCATAAGTGATAAACCTTCTAACCACTGATTCAGAATAACGCAATTTTTTTTATATCCAGAACTCTGTAAAATGTGTAACAATAATAATCACACTTTTCTCTCTCTTTTTGTTTTTTTTTTTTTTTTATTGAGCTTGTTGCGTTTTGGCAATGTGACCTTCTATTAAAAAAATAAAAACAAGCCTTTTTGCTTACTGGTTGAAATGTAATTATCAGTCAAACTGAATATAGCTTTTAGAAAACCGAAGCTAATTTTCCAAACTACAGATGAATGCAACTTTCTGTCTATTTGTTTTTGCTTACAGACATAGTCTTAATATTATTTCTGATTGTAACTTAATAACATGGTACTGATTGTGTAAAGGGTATGTGACAAAATTATATAACTATTTAATAACAGATATGATTACAGGTTTGTTTCAAAACAGTCAATCAAGGAAAAAGTGATAATATTCATAAACCTAAATAATGAATGGCTGAAGAATGCTGATGCAAGAGTATATGAAATATCATATGAGTTTGTACAGATGGGTGATTAATTTTTAGCCTATTTTGGAAGTTATAATTATGAGAGTAGGTGTAATAGCTGCCCAACAATATCTTGGCTAATTTGTTCTAGTTGAGGTAAAAACATAATGGGTGCGATTCTGTTACTTTTAAGATTATTTAACCTCATTGGTCTATCTATGTTTTGTGCTACATCCGCTTTAATTATCTAGTGGGAGCACAGCACGAGGACAAGTTCAGAAAAGTTAGTAGATTTTGATCTGTAAATACTTTCATTTACTGGAGGAGTGTTTCTGTTTTCCTCTTTGAATGTCCAGTGTGTCATTCTAAGACCATTTTGATTTTAACATACATAGTCTGTCATTCAAGGCTAGCCACCTACACTCTGTATGCAAATGAACGTTGGGGGAATCTTATAAGAGGTGGATTTATCCTCAGAGGTGCCATTTATTTCTCTTCTCATAGGCATGAATGGGTTTGTTGAAACTTAATACTGTGTTTTTGTTTTTTAGCAGTCTGTTAATGTTCAATATTTAAATCCCACTCAAGAAGCTGGGTCTGTAAGGCAGATGT